AACTTAATGAATTCTACTAGATAGAGCATGCAAGATAAAGAACTATTTTAACTACGGGGTCATCTTTGTCTTCTCCAACGTCGATCTGAAACAGATACGGTGGTAACAGATTAATAAGGAGCAATTAAAATTAATTATATTAAGTATTCTCACCTTAATTAACTGAAGACCGTAATGTTCCAAAGTTTGCAGGTGTGAAAAGCAAATCAAATCCAAGAGGAATGCCAATGCAGAAAATTTGTGTTATTTCAGTGGAATTCGCAAATCTCCAGTTGCTCTCACTCATCCCTTGAAAATTAACTGCATAATGTTACAAGGTGAAGACGAAAACAGCTAATCAAGATTGTAGTTCACCAAAGGCAGCACCATTGTAGATATTGTTTCAGTACCATCAACCCGAACTTTAATTCTCTCCCATTTGTCAGACGATCTGTAGAGATGGGCAAAAAAAAGTATTAGTTATACTATCTACTAAAGAATGGATGTTTAAAATAAGTAAAATATGTAATATAATTAAAAACATGTACAAAAACGAAAGCAAAACAGCTTATTATAAAATGGCGACGACATGTCAATTTTATTCATGTCATAGATAAATGTTCATAGATAATAGTAGATGTTAAAGGCTACAGAAATAACCGTAGATGTACGATGTTAATTTATACAGTGGACAATAGATACTTAAAAGAGAACCTCATAGATGCACGATAACATCGATTTATGCTGTGAACAATAGATAACTGTTAGAAGTAAAGCCATCGATGCCACAGATGGCAAATTACTATGAAAACTAAGCAACTTCAATATAATAGAAAAACAATTGCTTACCTGGAAGATTACTCTACGGTACTCCAGATTTATTCCAAAGCGTTGATAAAGAGAAGTGTCTCTGCATATATTTTCTAAAAATCGCACCTTTCACAGCCAAAGGACGGGAACATTGAAGGGGCTCCAATTCTCCAGGTTTTGAATCCTTTTTACTTTTTGTCTGCTTCTTCATTTAATATGTTTAAATGGCATCCTGTTGAAATAATTTAATGTGAGCTTCATTTTAAATATCATGTTTTAAAATATTAAAAACCATAACTAACACTAATCAAATAATAGACTATTAAAATCAACACATAACTATTGCAATTCAGAAGTGTAAAAATTTATAGTGGTAATTATTGTCAAACAAATGGAATACAAGCTTTGAAAAATCATGAATCATTTTGTAAGTACAACTTCATAAAATTATTAAAGATTTCTTACCCTTACTCTTTCTACAAACGACCCATTTCCGTAACCACGCGAAAGAATCATGATTGGAGACCTTGCTTCTCCACATTTCCCCTTTGATTTACCTTCTCCATGTACATTTATTATGTTTTAATATAAACCTGTTAAAACAATTTAATATCATTAGTTGTATGTTCACTAGATTTGTTATTATTTTATTATTAATGATAATTACCATTGTTAGCACCCTGTGTCCCATGAATTTTTTGACCAGCTCATTACAACCATTCTTGGAAATAAAAACATGTCTGGTTGCTACAAGTAGTTTGTCCATTGAATCCAAGCATATCATCTCAAAGCAAGTCTATATACAGAAAAAAAACAAGTCGTTAAAACACAATCTCTAGAATAACAAGTGATAATTTTTTTAACAGAAATTTAGATTTTTAAAAGCAGAATAATAATTTTCAGATTTATATTACATATTTTGACTATAAAACGAAGGCAAATTTACGCGGCGTGGTCACATCAATATAAAAAATCTACAATTATCCCCTAAATCTGTTTTCAAAATTCAAAAATTCTAACAAAACTCTAATTATTTAGCCTCAAATAAACTAAGAATATATTACAATTATCATTAGATGAGTGAAAAGGCAAAACGCCAAAATAGACCTATGCTGGAGCACGAGGCCAACACGCTCATTCCCATAAAAAAAATTGAAACCAATCAAACGTTAAATTGAAAGGCATCCACACAATTAAATGAAATTTGAATAAGTATTAGGGCTAAATACCTTCAGGTGTCGTTTCTATTTATGAACCGCAAAAATGGTGACATGCCTTCCTTTCCAAAAGCGAAGACAAAATGATGATTGATGATGATCGTAGTTCGTAGATAATGAACGAAACGAGCCGGAAGCCCATAGATGAAAACTTCTTCTATACCTATAATCCATTGATAATTGATTTCATAGATGCGTTCAATTACACTAACTCAGTTTAATTCGTAAATTAATAGAAACTGATATACCATTACAGAAAATTATCCCAATAAAACTGCAAAACTTAGTGTATTTTAACTACTTGTATCAATTTCTAAAAATTAATACAGTCTTTCGAAGCAAATTAATTAAAAATAATATTAATGTGGACACTTCGTTAACATATGAATGGCGTATTTATGGTTTCATTCGTTCATTTCACGATTTAAACACATAATAAGTTTTGCATTAAGCAAAGCATCTTGCGTTACGGGTTAAGTTAATATTCAGGGTAGGCCAGTACATGAGTTAGAACTATTTTCAAAGCAGTTTTTCTTAAGAAAAAAACACATTTTACAAAATGTATTAATTCGTACAAAATTTTCACTATTTAATTCATCAAATTGTAAATTAATTTTTAAATTTAATCCGACAATTCTTAAAGAAAGAATTTAATTATCTAATCAGAATGTGTAAACACGTACATATTGTAAACACCCACAGATCGGGACTGGGATTGATAAGAAAGATAAAAAGGTTCTTGACCGATTCAAGCTTTCCGGTCATAGTAAAAATTAAAATTTTATTTTCAGAAAAATTGCGTTTTTTCGTGACATCATGCCTTTGTAACGTTTAAATAGTTAAAGGTGATTTAAGGCCTAGTAGGCACTGAAAGTGCTCGAATGGACCCTTGCTTTGGAAGTAAGAAAAAAAAAATAAAAGTCCGTGTTTTCAAATTGCATGCCAGTAAAAAGAAAGGAAGTTTTAACTATAAAATCCTTGCGAAAAAATAGCAAGCACCTTTTATTCACAGTTAATTTTTCCATTCTTGTGCCAACTAGAACTCCCTTTCTTTTCATTGGCATGCAATTTTTTACATTACTTTTCTTTTGAATCAATAGCTATTTCTGATTAAGAATCGTCTGTCTCCTTTACTATTGTTAGCTTATTACATTTTTATACCTTCATAACAATTTTCCCAAAAAAGCTAACAAATTTTTCCATGTGAAGACGACAAGGGTAAACGAAGTGCAGTAAGAATACATCACCGTACACGATCCATTTGGGGACGCTCAGTAATATCCAAGGAAACTTCAGTATGCTTTTAATAACAGGCTAATCAGTAAAACAGAACAAGAGAAAACAAATTAGCTGCAATATTAATGAACAATACATGAAAATTAAAACGCAATTTTCAGCTAAAAAAACCAAGTAAAGCTGCAAATTATGAAATGGCGACGTAGCGTCAGTCAGCCTCATTCGTACATGATAATACCCTCGTTTTATTAGGGTACGCTAAGAGTGGCGAAATGAATGGAGTTGTGAAATTTACAATCTCACACCCCCATTCGTACCTTCATTCATTCGTTCAACACCATTCACGCTTCTCACTCACACCCCCATTCATTCCTCTACTCGCAGTGTACCCTCATGTACGAATGAGGGTATTTTGCGAGTGCACTTATGAAAATACATTCTCACATCCTCATTTGTACCTCTATTCTCTCCCTCTTTCTCACACACACATCACCATTTGTACGTCTCTCATAACCCCATCTACAAATGGGGGTATTCTGTTAGTGGATGAATGAGTGGAGTTGTAGGATTTACTTTCTCACACCATCTTTCGTATTTGCAATCTTTTGTCGATTCATTCACTGACACCACCCTTCGTTCCTCCATTCGTAAGGCATCCCTATTCATTACGCTATTCTCACACCTTCGTTCACCTTGACTCTCTCATACACGAAACACCCCATTCTGACTTTCATACAATCCCGTTCAATCCTTCCGTTTCACTCATACACATGCAGTTCTTATATGCATATACACATCCTACTTTATTCTCTAGCTTTCACCCATATGTACCCTCACACATCCATTTTCTTTCACTCTTACACTTACATTTTCATTTTCACCCCCTGCCTTCCATACACATACTCATTCCCACTCTTACCTTTTCACCCACCACAGCCATGTCACACATTCTTTTTCTTACTCATCCACCCTTTCTCTTGCTCTCTTAAACCCTAACAAAACTCCTTCCTCATCCTGAGTCCTTCACAGTACTCTCACTTTCATTCCAACCACATTCAAACTCTCACTCTCATAATCATCTTCATCCCACATTAAATTCATTCATTCATTTCCTATTCGTAAGGCATTTCTTCACTCGCAACATACCCTCATTCGAACATAAGGGTACACTGGGAGCATAGAATGGAGGTGTGAATTGGGGGTGTGGGATTGTAAATCTTACATCTCCATTCATATCGCCCAGTGTTGCCAATTCGAGGGATTTATCCCGATTCGAGGGATTTTTGACGTTCTCGAGGGATAAAGGGATTTTTCCTTATTTTCGCGGGATTTTTTGTAATTTGCCATTTTCTGGTTGGTTTTGTTTGATTTTGTTGACCTGATATTATATTATGAAGGCGCTCATTTTTCTAATTGTAAATGTAAAATTTTGTCAGCTATAATCGTATAATGCTGTACGATGAAACGGTTGATAAACGACGGCAACGTGCGTTCAAGCCTACTGGTGCAACCTGCAGGTACCTGCTCAAGTCCCTGCAATAAATTGTCCTGAACTCTTTTGAATTGTATATTGTTTTCGTATCATTGTATGGTCTTCAGCAAACATCTTGAGAGTGACCAGTCAACAGATCAGAAACACATGTTAAAACTAATAAAAATAAATGTTTGAGTTGGTGTATTGTTCCGAAATCCGAACATCTAAACATCTAAACCCCCAAGGTCTGTTTGTGTCTGCATTTTTGGGAAACGACATATTTAAATACAATAAAATTATCGGTATTATGCTATCGACACGAAAAGTTGTCCATGTTTTTTTTCTTCGAATAAACGATTAAATTAACGAATTAAGAGATAATAATAGTAATAAGTTGGAGGGATTTTTAGAGAAAATATGGGACTTTTTGGACCTGCGCGTGGAGGAATTTTTAGAGAAAATATGGGATTTTTTGGATCTGCGCGTGGGATTTTTTCCTGTAATAGGTTGGCAACAGTGATATCGCCACTCGTATAATACCCTCGTTGTATCAGGGTACGCTACGAGCGGCGATATGAACAAAGTAGTGAGATTTACAATCTCACACCCCCATTTATACCTCCACTAATTCGCTCAACCCCATTCATACTTCTTTCTCATACCGCCATTCGAACCTCCACTCGCAAAATACCCTCATTCGTATATGAGGGTACACTGCGAGTAAAGGAATAACGGAATGGAATGAGGAATACAATTGATAGTAAAAGAACATACCTTTTGGAGTGTTACTGCTTGTACATTAGATATTAAATTAATTTTAAACATTCTGTCATGTTGAACAACTGCATACTTGTTCTGAATGTTTAGTTAAAGCAATAACCCTCCATCTGGTTTATGGTCTTTGACCATTTATTTACATTTTTGGGTTTTTCTATATATATATTAAATTGAAACCTAAAAATAAGTTATTATCTGTATACAAGCAGTAACACTCCAAAAGGTATATTCTTTGACTATTAACTAGTAGAAATATAAGTAAAAAAAAACATTTTTTTTTCAGTCTGAAGATTAAATTAAACTGAAATGTTACAAAAAACATATAGTTGTGTAATTATTTGACCGCCACCCTGGAAAATACTTCAGATATAAATAATTTAATTTAATTTGTAGTAAATAACGTGCAGGATACATTGTTAAAGTAATGCAGTACCTTTTTCTCTGTTAATATCAAATAAATACACTACATACATACAATATTGTATGTACACTCACCTTAATTAACTACAAGAGCCTCCAAGATGAAAAGTCAATAGCTAAAACGATTTATCTTTTCAGTAAGCAAGGGATACCAGTCCAATCTCTCTCAATTGTTAGCCAATCTGTAGAAACGGACAAAAACAATTATTAACTAATTTTAATTAAAAATATTTCAAAGATGTCTGCTAAAATAGATACANTTGGCAGTGTATTTTGTCAAAAAATATATTTTTAATACTAAATGCAATGCAAATAAGTGATAGTCAGCAGGTGAATTGTCAAACGGATTTTGCTGTATCATTTACACTCGTTATCGACATTCTTAGGTACCTACAATAATATAATATTAACAATAAATTGAGCACATTGTATGTCTCGATTCTTTTTTTCATTCATGTCAGACACGAGGTAGCAAGCCTACGATAAAAAAGAAAATCACACAAATAATATTATTTACAATTGCGCGACATTTTTTTTAAAAATCAGTTTTTCGCAGTAAGGACGCATCATAATTTCCATGTTTGCCTTTCGATGTCAGTTCCGCAGGATTCCATGTAGAGTTTTGCCTTTGCAGCATTGATGGCCAAATATTTTTGACTGCTCCCATGCCTAAGAAGTACATTATCAGGATCGTATTCCCAGAACTGATTGCCCTTTGACTCGTGGCATGGATATATTTAGGAGAACATATCTGGCGAACTATTAAAGATAGAGCAAAAATTCTTTCAGCAATGGTTGACCCGCATCGTCGCGAACAGGACAAACTTAATTTCGAAAGAAAATAAAATTTTAAAAATTTTGAATATCTGATCGGCACAGATTTCGACCGCACATGTCCTATAATGTTTGTACTGAGCCGGGGCATCCGTCTGTGAAAGAATTTTTCCGATAAGTCCTACCGTTTTCGAGCTACAGGCTACAAAATGTCAAATTTAAAAATTTTGCGCTCAGGAACATGCCCGCGGTTGAAAATTCGTAGCTCCTCACCTCGACGTCCGATGCGTTCGAAACATAGGTGGTTCGAAGCCCAATGCATGGAGAAAGTTTTTAGTAAAAACCGCGTTGACCTATGACATTCCCGGCCTGTGCTAGCGCCAACCGAATTTACGTAATTTACCCTACTTTACTTTTCGTTTTAGCGTTTTTCTGAGTCCACGGTATAGCTCATATTTGCCGATTAAATAGTGCGATTTCTATGGGAGTGTTATCAAAATTTTCTAGAGACACTGTGCATCACGTCGAGATCGAAAGTGTCCCCTTACGATATTCCCTTACAGAGTTACAGCTGTCGAAACTTTTGGCCAAGTGTTATTTTCGAAATCGAGAATTAAATGTTTAAGAGAACATATCTTGCAAACTATTAAAGATAGCGCAAAAATTCTTTCACCAACGGTTGGTCCGTACCTAAGTGTACAGGAAAAATTTAATTTCAAAGAAAAAAAAATACAAAAATTTTTAAAAATTTTGAAATTTGTCATCTACAATCTTTCATACTAACGAACCAATGAATAAACTAGACCATGATTATAAAATTTATTCGCCTTCTCTAAATCATGATAAAAAGCAGTAGAACATCTGCTTATCGTTACCATTATCTACCGAACTTGCGCTGTCGATAAATAGCTTTAGAATGTCTCAGAAACATTTACAGAGTGTAATTAAAAATGAATTGTGCGAAAAGAGTTACAAGTTATAAAATGAAAACCGAATGACGAATGCGTAAGTACAAATCAGAAACCAGACTCTTAATCGTAATAAATGTATAATACTATTTCTTTAAACTAAATCACAATAATAAAAGAAAAAATTACCATCACTCACGATCAGATTGATTGATAACAAATATAGAAGGTATAGCCACACTTTTTAAACGAAAATGAAATTTAAATGCAGATTTTTAAACTTCATAGGAATAAGATTTGCAAAGAGAATATACAGTTAAAAATACTTGCGAAGATTTTAGGCATTTTCCCAAATTTCTTACTTTACTTCATTATAGCTCACATATTTAAAGTACAACTTTAAATTCGTTTAGACCATAAAAAAGTGTTTTCTTCAATAGATATAAATACCTACTTCTACCTTCTACCATACAATATAAATGTATCAGTTCACAACAATTTGAAATTTAAATCTATTTTAAAATTGATGAGGCAACTTTTAAACGTCTTTCTAGAGTATTTACGGAAATTTACAACCCAAAAAATTGGATAAAATGTGCTTTCAACTGCAGAAAACACACCAAAACAAAAGAACGATTTTGGCAATCCAGGAAAACAAACAAGAAAAAGAAAGAAGTCCATCAAGGTATCGTACATTATAAAGAAACAATCAATTCAAAATTTCTACCTTTTTCCTTATCGAATCTGACTGCAGGTGTGGTAAATATCCTTATATTTAGATTATCCATCACAAGTAATCCTTAATAGGTAAAAAGCAATTTTTGATCTCCCAGCACGATATTCGTAACACAAAGTAATCTTGCTCTTAACCGTAATATTTTATATTATTTTATACTATTATTGAACGAAGTTGCGTCTCATTCGACAAAGCAAACGTCGATGGAATCTGAGCCCGGCTTAGGAGATTTTAAACCGAAGGCGAAACGATAACAATACTTTCGTTCACGAAGCTTGATTAAACAGTGTGATCATAAGCCGAATAAAACCGAAAGAAAAAATGTGTTGTAACATCAATTTCTTTTAATTTTTTTTTTGAAATGGTACTAGTGCTCTCCTGAGTTTATGACATATGATAGTACATGATAAAATGGATAAACCTTTTGTGTATTTTTAAATTATGCATCTTTTCCATGTTTTTGAAAATTGTTCTAAAAAGTACTAATAAAACTTTCTAAGGCTATAATTTGAAAACGCTTTTATCTTCCTTGAACTAAATGTGCGATATAAAATAAAATTTTTGATTCTGAGAAAATCAGCTGTGACAGACCGATAGACGCATGAGTAGTCTTCTAAAGATTCCGATTTTCAAAAACAGAAAAAATGGAATATTTATAAAAAATAACTACAAAATAAATACCCATTTATATAAGAAATTACCCAATGACAGCAAAATCTATTAATTGCTGTTAACAAATAATCAATTTATTAAGTCTAATTATAATTGTATATTTAAATAAAAACATCTAGTTGTTAAAATACATATTCCTAGTTTCATTTTATATTTCTTTGTCCTAATATTCGTATTGGCATTTACATCATTTTCGTAGAGTATCTTTCGAACGATATGAGTCAACATGCCAAGCAAAAAACCTCAAGGGATAACAACACGAAGACGAGCATTCCAGCATTTGATGTAAATAAGTAAGATATAAATAAACAGCAAATAATCATCACAGCAGACACAGCTTTAGAAAAACGTTTCGACCATTAAATTGAAACAGAATTATTGTATTCATTTCTACTGGATAAATTTTACTTTTCTGCTGTCGTTTGAGAATATTACGCAAACAGTTAAAAATAGTACTTCAATTTTATTGCATATTTGAGTGAAAATGAATGAAGAATTATTAACCCAAACAAAAAAATATCTCATATATTGTGTACATTTACAACGTTGTGCCCCCTTCAGATTGCTTTTAAAAATATACATTATTGTATTATTTACATTTAAAAATCATACATCATTCCAAACTATCAAAATCTGACAAACGAATTTTCAGTAAAGTATAATTTAGAACACCTGCATTCTTTACTATCAGAAATTACAAAACTTTTTGCTTAAAACAGAGGAAGGACAGCACCCTTACAAAAACTTTGACTGCATATCTTGTCCCGTACTTTTCAAACAAAAACTGACAAACGAATTTTGAATAATATGGAAGTTATAGCACCTGCATTTTCTACCATCAGATATTGCAAAGTTTTATGTTCAAAAGAGAGGGTAGACGGCACCCTTACAAAAAATATGACTTTACACATTTTGTCACCGCACTCTTGAAACAAAATTGTCAAAATCTGACAATACGAATTTTGAGTCATATGTACATAAGTTATAACACCTACATTTTGACCATCAGAAATTGTAAAATCTTATGTTCAACAGAGAGGGTAATTATCAAAATCTGATAGTTGAATATTGAAAAAGTGCTATTTATTATACCTGTTATGTTCAAATGTAAGCACTTTGTCTGCTTTTGCTGCCATTAAAGTGTTTGTCATCATCTGGCGAGCTTTTGCTGCCATTAAAGTGTTTAATTTTCACACACTATTAGTAATGTTTTACGTTGAACAGGAAGGAAGTCAGCACCCTTAGAAATAATCTGACTACACATTTTTGTCCCGTCCTCTGCAGAAACAGTTTCCACGCCCTTTTTACAAATTTTGAAAAGTTGTAACGTGCGCCACCCTGTATTTAGCGGCTCCTTCTGATCACGCGCGTGTGTGTGATGCCGATGCGTGAATAGAGGCGGTATCCTTTGGCGGCTTGCTAGGTGAATAAACAGCGACGGGGTGCGAATATACTTTTAATGTTTTTTCAAAGTTTTAAGTTAGTAGTTAAATAGACATCCGCGTGTTCACTTGCGTGTCTGAACAAATTTCTTATTTTAATTTCTACGTTTCTGAGTTTATATTTTTACATTTTTTTGTTTTGTTTAAATACACACTGTTAACCAATTACCAAAAATTTCAATCTATAACGCTACAAAGTATATTAGTTACAACACCTGCAATACTAACTATCGGATATTGTAATGCTTTTAGGTTCAAAAGTAAGGGTAAGGATAATTATTATAGCTAATCTGAACTGCACAGTTTGTCCCCGTTTTCTACAAGCAAAATTACCAAAATCTGACAAACGAATTTTGAATAATATACAAGCCATAATATCAGAAATTGCAATGCTTTAAGTTCCATTGCAAAGTTTTATGTTTAAAAGAGAGGGTGGACAGCACCCTAACAAAAAATTTGACTTTACACATTTTATTCCCGTACTCCTCAAACAAATGTATCAAAATCTGACAAATTTGTTTTGAAGAATAAATAACTTATAACACTTTTGTTTTGACTATTAAAAATTGCAAAGTTATATGTTCAAAAGAGAGGGTAAACAAAAATTACAAAAAATCTGGCTGTACACATTTTGTCTCCGTTCTCTTCAAACAAAATTATCAAAATCTGACAAATGAATTTTGAATAATATACAAGTTATAGCAGCTGCATTTTGACCATCACAAATTGCAAAGTTTAACGTTCAAAAAAGAGGGGGGCAGCACCCTTACAAGAAAATTGACTTTACATATTTAGTCCCCGTACCCTTGAAACAAAATTATCAAAATCTGACAAATGAATTTTGAATAATATATAAGTTATAGCAGCTGCATTTTGACCATCAGAAATTGCAAACTTCGACCTTTTAAACAATTATTTTGAATGTGATAAAGGTTGAAACATATGTAAAAATATACGTAGAATACCATGGTGTCACGGGTTTACATGTGCGTCTTGAAATAAGGAAAATTTAATAGTCTTAATTTAAAAATTAAGCAAAACATCTACCCATAAAAAACGCTCGTGAAATTTCCACCTGTTAAACAATTATTTTGAAAGTGATAATGGCTGAAACGTATGTAAAAATATACGTAGAATACCATGGCGTCAGGTGTTTACATGTGCGTCATGAAATAATGAAAATTTAATGGTATTTAATTTAAAAATATAAGGAAAATTTAATAGTCTTCGAATTAAAATTTATGTGGCGACCTTTAACTGTCCTAGAGCATTTATGAAAATTTACAACCCACAAAATTGGATAATATGTGGCTTCAACTGTAAAAAACGCACTAAAACGAAAGAATAAAATTGGCAATAGAAAGAAGACATCCTCCAAAATATGATACATTATAAAGAATGTTAATAAAGAAATACAAGTGAAATTCAAAATTCCTACCTTTTCCCTATCGTATCCCAGATTGAAAATGTGGTAAATATCCTTATATGTATATTCTTTAAAGCAATTGCATAAGAAAAGTTTTCGGTCTTCCTTAGTAAATAATCCTTAATGGGTAAAAAGGCATTTTTGATCTCCCGGTAGGATACCCGTAACTTGACAACAGAGAATACACAAAGTAATCTTGCTATTAACCGAAACACTTCATATTATTTTGTTTTTGCATACTATAATTGAAGAAAGTTGCGATCGACCGAGTCTTAACTACACAAACTAGATCTCGATGGAAACTGAGACCGAATTTGGAGATTTTAAACCGAAGACAAAACGATGACAACACTTTCGTTCACGAAGCTTGATTAAACAATGTGATCATTAGCCGAATAAAACCGAAAAAATAAATAATTAATTACTAAAAATAAACAGTCAATTTATTAATTGTACTTATCATCCCATTTTTAAATAAAAACATTCAGTTTTTAAAATACTTATTCCTATATTTAAATTTTATTTTTCTTTGTCCTAACATTTGTATTGGCATTTATATTATTTTCGTAGAGTATCCTTCAAACACAACGTACCTAAGTCAACAAGCCAAGCAAAAAAACTCAAGAGATAACAACTGTATGTATAAAGCAGATCGTATCATAACAGTCCCCTTACCCCGCTTGCACACCGAAGAATAAACAACAAACAATCATNTCTGACAAACAAATTTTGAAAAGTATGCAAGTTTTAACAGCTCTAATTTTTACCTTCCAAAATTGTAAAATTTCAGATTCAAAAGGAGTAGTAAAGGGAACCCTCATATAAAATCTGATTTTACACATTTTGTCCCTATTTCCCACAAACAAAATTATCAAAATCCTACAAATAAATTTTAAATAATAAGCCAGTTAGAAAACATGTAATTACTACTATAAGAAATTGCAAAGTTCAGGCACAAAACTAACGGTACAGGGCACCCTAATAAAAAATCTGACTTTCCTTATTTTGTCCTCGTTTCCTATTAACCAAATTGTTAAAATCTGACAAACAAATTTTGAAAAGTATGCAAGTTTTAACAGCTCTAATTTTTACCTTCCAAAATTGTAAAATTTCAGATTCAAAAGGAGTAGTAAAGGGAACCCTCATATAAAATCTGATTTTACACATTTTGTCCCTATTTCCCACAAACAAAATTATCAAAATCCTACAAATAAATTTTAAATAATAAGCCAGTTAGAAAACATGTAATTACTACTATAAGAAATTGCAAAGTTCAGGCACAAAACTAACGGTACAGGGCACCCTAATAAAAAATCTGACTTTCCTTATTTTGTCCTCGTTTCCTATTAACCAAATTGTTAAAATCTGACAAACAAATTTTGAAAAGTATGCAAGTTTTAACAGCTCTAATTTTTACCTTCCAAAATTGTAAAATTTCAGATTCAAAAGGAGTAGTAAAGGGAACCCTCATATAAAATCTGATTTTACACATTTTGTCCCTATTTCCCACAAACAAAATTATCAAAATCCTACAAATAAATTTTAAATAATAAGCCAGTTAGAAAACATGTAATTACTACTATAAGAAATTGCAAAGTTCAGGCACAAAACTAACGGTACAGGGCACCCTAATAAAAAATCTGACTTTCCTTATTTTGTCCTCGTTTCCTATTAACCAAATTGTTAAAATCTGACAAACAAATTTTGAAAAGTATGCAAGTTTTAACAGCTCTAATTTTTACCTTCCAAAATTGTAAAATTTCAGATTCAAAAGGAGTAGTAAAGGGAACCCTCATATAAAATCTGATTTTACACATTTTGTCCCTATTTCCCACAAACAAAATTATCAAAATCCTACAAATAAATTTTAAATAATAAGCCAGTTAGAAAACATGTAATTACTACTATAAGAAATTGCAAAGTTCAGGCACAAAACTAACGGTACAGGGCACCCTAATAAAAAATCTGACTTTCCTTATTTTGTCCTCGTTTCCTATTAACCAAATTGTTAAAATCTGACAAACAAATTTTGAAAAGTATGCAAGTTTTAACAGCTCTAATTTTTACCTTCCAAAATTGTAAAATTTCAGATTCAAAAGGAGTAGTAAAGGGAACCCTCATATAAAATCTGATTTTACACATTTTGTCCCTATTTCCCACAAACAAAATTATCAAAATCCTACAAATAAATTTTAAATAATAAGCCAGTTAGAAAACATGTAATTACTACTATAAGAAATTGCAAAGTTCAGGCACAAAACTAACGGTACAGGGCACCCTAATAAAAAATCTGACTTTCCTTATTTTGTCCTCGTTTCCTATTAACCAAATTGTTAAAATCTGACAAACAAATTTTGAAAAGTATGCAAGTTTTAACAGCTCTAATTTTTACCTTCCAAAATTGTAAAATTTCAGATTCAAAAGGAGTAGTAAAGGGAACCCTCATATAAAATCTGATTTTACACATTTTGTCCCTATTTCCCACAAACAAAATTATCAAAATCCTACAAATAAATTTTAAATAATAAGCCAGTTAGAAAACATGTAATTACTACTATAAGAAATTGCAAAGTTCAGGCACAAAACTAACGGTACAGGGCACCCTAATAAAAAATCTGACTTTCCTTATTTTGTCCTCGTTTCCTATTAACCAAATTGTTAAAATCTGACAAACAAATTTTGAAAAGTATGCAAGTTTTAACAGCTCTAATTTTTACCTTCCAAAATTGTAAAATTTCAGATTCAAAAGGAGTAGTAAAGGGAACCCTCATATAAAATCTGATTTTACACATTTTGTCCCTATTTCCCACAAACAAAATTATCAAAATCCTACAAATAAATTTTAAATAATAAGCCAGTTAGAAAACATGTAATTACTACTATAAGAAATTGCAAAGTTCAGGCACAAAACTAACGGTACAGGGCACCCTAATAAAAAATCTGACTTTCCTTATTTTGTCCTCGTTTCCTATTAACCAAATTGTTAAAATCTGACAAACAAATTTTGAAAAGTATGCAAGTTTTAACAGCTCTAATTTTTACCTTCCAAAATTGTAAAATTTCAGATTCAAAAGGAGTAGTAAAGGGAACCCTCATATAAAATCTGATTTTACACATTTTGTCCTTATCTCCCACAAACAAAACTATCAAAAGCCTACAAATGAATTTTGAATATTAAGACAGTAAGAAAACATGTAATTATTACTATCAGAAGTTGCAAAGTTTAAGCACAAAAATAAAAGTAAAGGGCACCCTAATAAAAAATAACTACACATTTTGTTTTCGTTTTCAATAAACCAAATTACCAAAACCTGACAAACAAATTTTGAAAAGTATGCAAGTTTTAACACCTCTAATTTTTACCATCAGAAAATGTAAAATTTAAGGTTCACAAGGAGTAGTAAAGGGAACCCTCATAAAATATTTAATTTTACACATTTTGTCCCTATCACAATCAAAACTATCAAAATCTGAAACGATTTTTGAGCAATATGCAAGTTATTACACCTATGATTTTTACTATCAGAAACTGCAAAGTTTAAGGTTCAGAAGGAATGGAAAACAGAACCCCTGAAAAAAAATTGACTACACATTTTGTCCCCGTCTTCTACAAACAAAATTATCAAAATCTGACAAATGAGTTTTGAAAAATATGCAAGTTATAACATCTGTTTTTTTTTGTCTGAGATTTTGTAGTTTTAGTTTCAGACGGGGTAGCAAAGGGAACCTTTATAACAAATCTGACTATACACATTTTGTCCCTATCTTGTACAAACAAAACTATCAAAATCTGACAAAACGATTTTTGAGCAATATGCAAGTTATTACACCTGTGATTTTTACTATCAGAAATTGCAAATTTGAAGGTCCCAACGGAATGATAAACAAAACCCCTGAAAAAATCTGATGTTACAACATCTTGTCACCGTCTTCAACAAACAAAATTATCCAAATCTGGCAAATGAATTTTGGAAAATATGCATATTAAAAAAGTGTAATGACCAAATTTAGTCACGGTATGACTGGTGGGTTTTTAGTGCCACTAAAATATTCAATATCAGATTATAATGTATTGGGATCCAAAGGGAAGGTAATCAGCACCCTTACATAAAAACTGACTTTACGCATATTGTCCCCGTCGTCTAGAAACAAAATTATCAAAATCTGACAGACGATTTTTGAATAATATGCAATTTATGACACCGATAAGTTTTACATGCCGGAATTGCAAGGTTCAAAAGAAACAATAAAAAGAACCCTTACAAAAAATATGACTACACATTTTGTCCCCAAATCATACAAATAAAATTATCAAAATCTGTCAAACGAATTTTAAATAAGATGTAAGTTATAACACCTACAACTTTTCTTGTTTGAAATTGCAGCTTTTAGGTCAAAGGGAAGTGAAGATGACACCTTGATAAAAGAAGTCTGGCTTTATACATTTTGTCCTCATTCTGATCAAACAAAATTAATAAAATCTAACAAACGAACTTTAATATATGCAAATTATAACACCCCTGATTTTTTAATCAGGAACAACAAAGTTTTAGATTCAAAAAGAGAGTATAGTCTAGTCGCAAAGTTTACAGATTTTATCTTCCTTCCCTACAAAGATTATCATAATCTGACAAATTTCGAAAAAAAATTCGTAATTCCTATAATGAACAAAAGTAGGCACTGTATTGCCATCTGGTGGCTTAATTATTCAAAGGAAAATTAAAAGTAGTTTTTACTATGGAATAGAGTAGTTTTCGATACATCAAATGCTTTCTGGAGTTTTAAAAACACAATTTCTAAAAGCGTCACAGGTGCTAATAGTACTCAAATCTGTTAATAAATGATAAAAATGCTTAGATCAAATAAGACCAAATGAATATGTCCATGAAATTGTAAAAGCGTAAAAGCATTTAGAGATTTCTCACCTTTTACTTCATCTGACTACGATATTATTACTGATCTATTCATGCAGGCAACCCACTGTACTGCAAAGTATTGCATATGATATAGATATGTACATGTCTTTTTATAAATTTTCAAATATTTCCTTTTTACCAGTGAAAAATTCATAATTTGATTATAACGAACTCCCAAAGAAAACTAATGGTAGAAAGCCTTTTCTAAGCTTCCACATTTGCTGGAAAATGCCTTAATTTTATTATTTTATTATATGCTCTTTTTATTTAAAATTATTTTATGAAAACACAGTAACGATATATGCAAACATTATTAAAAACAAGTGACATTTTAAATCTGCTGTACGAGTATCTATAGATAAATAATAATCCCTATACACCTTATCTATGAGTATGATACATGAACATATAATTTTTCGCAGGTACAAATTATTACAAACATTCGACGTAATAAACACTTGATTTGTATAAAGTATATGTACGACACGTATCAAAAATCGGTTTGAGGTTAAATAGTCGGTACACAAATAATTGTGCAAATCATTTCAATTTTCAAAGTCAATTTTGAAAATAAGTGTTCAACGAAGTGATTATAGTAGGTTTAAGTTGTTTTAAGAAATAAAAAATGAGTTCAATAGGGACTGGGGTATGTATATTATCACAATGCCTGATAGACTCTAGCATTAGTCTGTTTTTAGTATGACCTTTCAGCATCTCAGTTTTCTCCTGACGGAAGAGTTTTCCAAGTAGAATATGCTGTGAAAGCAGTAGAAAATAGCGGCACTGTTATAGCTCTCAGAGGAAAAGATGGTGTAGTGTTTGCTGTAGAAAAGTTAGTCACTTCAAAATTATATGAACCTGGAGCAAATAGAAGGATTTTTACAATTGATCAACATGTTGGAATGGTAAGTTATTTTATAATATACAAATCCTGTGCTTAATTGAATTTCTAGGGTGTTTGTGGTTTAATTGCTGATGCTCGACAAATTGTGGATATTGCCAGACGAGAGGCTGCAAATTATAAGTCCCAGTTTGGAGTGAAAATTCCTATAAAATTCTTAAATGACAGAGTCAGCATGTACATGCATGCCTATACTCTGTACAGTGCAGTAAGGCCTTATGGATGCAGTGTGGTATTAGGAAGCTATGATCCTGAGGATGGTTCATCATTATACATGATTGATCCATCAGGAGTTTCATATGCAAGTCTTTTAAGTATTTATTTAAGGAATACTATTTACTTATATAATTTTTGTAGGGTTATTATGGATGTGCTATAGGTAAAGCTAAACAATCAGCTAAAACTGAAATAGAAAAATTGAAATTAACTAATATGAATACAAAGGAACTAGTTAAAGAAGCAGCTAGAATGTAAGTAAACAATTGTAGCTATCTGAGCATACTATTTAAATGAAAATTATTTTTCAGAATATATTTAGTTCATGATGAATTAAAAGACAAAAACTTCGAACTTGAGCTTTCTTGGGTAAGCAAAGATACAAATGGTCTTCATGAACGTGTACCAGAACATGTTTTCCTCGAAGCTGAAAAGTCAGCTAAACAGGCAATGGAAGCAGATTCAGATTCAGATACAGAAGATATGTAATTAATTGAAGTGTTAGGTATTTTTTTAAAGCCATTTATTAAAAAATATTTCATAAGTCGCTGTTTTTGTCATATCAAACATTTTTTTAAAATATAATGTATGCAAACCTAATCTATTGTTAAAAAAAAAAAAATAAACGAGATCCATATGCTATTTAAAATGAAATCTGTTAAGACATGGGCTGTAAAATCATCATACCTATTATACATTCTAAAATTACTTACATCCTATCGTTTGAGTCAGATAACTGCAATCACAGATAATATTTTTACTCAAAATGCAAACGTGACATATTTCAAAAATGAAAAACGAATTCAACATTGAAATGATTTTGCATATATACCAATAGGTAAGGTGCTTCCAATAAATATTTCCAAAATTAAACTACAATTAAAGAATAATTTTTCTAACATTTATCAAAAAATAATTTTTTAAATATTAAAAATGTCCTAACAAAATGAAAAAAAAAGCAACCAAAACCTTTTTCTAAATTTGTACGCCTACTAGTACCTAATTTTTACCTTCCAAAATTGTAAAATTTCAGATTCAAAAGGAGTAGTAAAGGGAACCCTCATATAAAATCTGATTTTACACATTTTGTCCCTATTTCCCACAAACAAAATTATCAAAATCCTACAAATAAATTTTAAATAATAAGCCAGTTAGAAAACATGTAATTACTACTATAAGAAATTGCAAAGTTCAGGCACAAAACTAACGGTACAGGGCACCCTAATAAAAAATCTGACTTTCCTTATTTTGTCCTCGTTTCCTATTAACCAAATTGTTAAAATCTGACAAACAAATTTTGAAAAGTATGCAAGTTTTAACNTTTATCTTATAAAAAGAAAAACGGACCTCTCTTTAAGATTTCTTACGCGTTCGTCCAACTTACCATTCTAGTTTTTCGCAAACACCCAAACATAAAAATTATGGTATAGTAATGAATTATAGTAATCCCTATATTTTTTACAACTTACATTTTAAACTTTTATATAATAATATAAGACATCTACATCTTTTTCTTCGTTCCAAAAACTATTCAAATCCAAATAATAAAAGGGACAAAGTTCTTAAAACAAGTTTTGTACTTTTTGTGTTTTTGAAAATCACGTTTTCTAGTACTTCATCTTCACATTTAAGAATGGTTTGGTAAAAATTTAAATTTAATTCAACAGCTTTCTAGCTGGAAAGTCACTCTCGTGGGCAAACGGATTTAGCAAAATTATAAACTCACGCCTTGAAGCTATTTAAAATTACGATAAAAAATACGGTTTATGCACTTACCTTCTTCCATTATTCAGCCCAAATGGAATTTATCATCCTTTTGTATGTCCTTCACCAGACCGTAATGCTCCTTGAACTATCGAACACATAATGCTTCAATACTCCATTTCTTTGATTTTCATCTCACCACCCTGTTAAATAACAAGAATGTTAATTTTAAGGGATTATAAAAAAACAAAAAATATCTGATAAACTTATGTTCTATTTACTTTGTATACGTTTAACAATTTTTAAATTTAATCATGTTACATATTTCCCAAATTTTTTCCTTATATCGATTTATATTTTTCTCGGCTTTTCTGATAAAATAGGTATTGGAAACATTTAATGTTTATATTGTTTGATGATATTTAATGTTTATATAAATTATCACAGGTGTTTCACATATAACGACTTTTTACTAGTCATTCTAATATTAATTGAAAAACTTAAATGTGTTTTGGTTATTTCAGAAACATATTTTTGTAATTAATATGACGAACACAAACACACACATAACGAATGTTACGTTATATAAAAATGGTAACAATTTTTTACTCTTCTCTGTAACACCAAATAATAAAAAATACATCATTAATTACAATGTGAATAAGTGCTTTTTATAAATATTATTCTCCGACTTGAAAAAGTATAATTACCAAGTGTCAAAACCTATTTTTTTATAAGCTTCCAATGTTTTAGATACTTTTTGCTATTTACTATATAAGCACAATTCCTCGTTTTAATACTGGACCATTGACATTACATTACGATAATTTAGAATTGCAAGTCTTTTTGCTTCATTTTTGATCAAACTTTCATTTATGTATAAGTTTACAAACCTACTTTGGATGAATATAATAATTTGAATTAAGTTAAATACATATAGGTACCACGAATACTGAATCACAAACTAAGTAAAACTACTTGTACTTACGTTATCACAGCTTTTTTTTATTACAATCCATTCTCTAATGCCTGCACATTAATTATTATCCGCTTGTTATAAAAGTAATATAAAATATTGTTTTACTCGACATTAATAAATTGTCTTAAATATTCATAATATAGTAGTACGAAACAAAATATATAATTTTTTAGATGGAAAAAAACCCTTGTACTGAAAATGTTTGATTTTTAAAATTTTAAATGCGTTTTAGTAGATTAATAATAAAACAATACTGCAGTAAAGAGACTCACCCCGATTATCACAAACACATTAAGATATACATATCTCGCTATCCAAGAAGTTTATTTATCAAAGGTGAATCTCCTTAAATTTATTTCCCTATCATGATTTTTTTTCAAAACTGCATTGATTTCTATTATAAAAATATGTCTCCACAAAGATGAGATCCTAAAAATATATCTCCCACAGTTGTTGTTATATGTATATTAACGTAACGTAATTTTCTCATTAATGAGAACGATTTTCATTTTTAATACATTTAAAAATTCCCAGCCTTAGAGAAACACATTTTATTAATAAAAAAAATGCAGATTTCTATGCATTACAGTTTTTATAGGCACCCACTCTGTACAGTGCAGTAA